TTGTGTAACAAAAGAAGCGAATATTCTCAGGGAGTTCACAATGGGATCCTTCGGCTAGTCAAAGCCTGACCCGCAAGGTAACGAAGCAGTGTTTAAAAACCGCAACCCATTGGTCCTCTGTCCAATCCATTGGATCCTGCGCCCTTCGTACGGGGTCGAACGTTCAAGGTACCCAATACACCTCGATATCCNCTCGTTCCATGTATAAGCATATAGCAGCACGCACCACTACATACAAGTCTTCTATAATACCGTACTTGGCACGGTTTCTTGTCATTCGGCCTCTTAAACAAAATCTTTGCTAAATTGGCTTTTTGTATATGTAACGTATCATCATACGTTTTTTTTACCATGTAATTTCCAAAGAAGAGTGATTGTGTAGTAGCTGAATGTTCATCCCCTATGGGGAAAATTAAAGTCGCTTCTTGACTTGACACCCAGTCTTGCAGTAGCACCTTGCACTTTGAAGGTGCAAAGCGTATGCCGAACGGAGCGACAGAACTAATATGTCAAGTGCTCTTTGTGCATCCTCCATACATTCGAACAGGCAAGCAATGTCGTCAACGTACTCTAGATCGCACAGTTTTTCTTCAACTTCCCATTTAATACCTACGTTTTGGAGACCACTTAGTGTGTTCTCCAGTTTTTTACCCTGTACAACCATTAACCATGCACTGTAGTGCACCAGTTTTGGTTGCTGTCTTTTGGTTGCCTATTTGGAGGAACATTAGGAGAAAGACAGGAAAGGTTGAAAGTACGATCGAAAAGAAAATTGCAAAGTTCAGTGGGCTAATGATACAGAAAAATTGAGAAGATGCACGAACGCCACTGTTTACGACACCCATTCATATAATTCAGTGTCTCTAACCATCGGGTACGACCATCCCGAGGTCCCCATCCAGGGATCTATCAAGGCCTCATGTGGTGCGCCACTCCGGGGCTTAGGTTACCGGTTTCCACCAGTGAACAACAGGTCCTCGTGACTATGGGTTTACCCCGTCTGCTGTTCATCACACTTGGGTGTGTAATAAAAAAATTAGACAACAAATAAAAGCGGCAATACCTAAAACCCAATCCCATTTGAATCCGTCGACTTATAAATTATTTGGGAACAAAAATCATTATAGATACCACTTGTTATAAGTTTATACCAATTTTTTTCAGCTCTCACTCAAACTTGCCGTACTTTTTCCGTCAGGGATGAGCGTTATGCTCTGAGTTCGTTAGATTTGTCTTGATTTTAGCGGTNGCGGTTCTCATCAATCAATCCACAAAACATGGTATTCTGGCCAAACGACTGTCAGTTCAACCAAACACACGTAAGTTATTTTGTCCTCTGTTTCTTCTAAGGTTCCGTCCTAGATGGGATACTATGAAACGGCTGAGACCAAACGGCTTTTGCGCAGTTGTGATCATCTGCATGTCACAGATCAGCTGCACGAGGTGGGCAGATTGCTTTGCGTATTTTCTGATTCGATCGCTGTTGTGTAGGCCTCTATACGGGGTAGTCCGTATTCGACCGCCCTACGGTTATATTGTCAACGTTCCAAGATCCCGGATACTCCCTACTGGTCCATAACCGGTCGACATGATATGTTTTGTGGTATTTACAATTCGACCGGGGACCGATTTTTCAGCGGCTCACACGGTTTGTTTGATCCTATCCCACTTTCTATTCTCACGCATTCACTGTCGTTTCCGGCACCCAGATGGTGTAATACGCGTGTTTGATTCGTCCAGACGTTTTTTTCGTTTACTGACCGAGGTCGAATGTCCATCCCATTTTTGGAGCATTGTTTCAATGTCCTTGAGGTAAGCCAGATATCTTCGGTTGGTTTGTACAATTATAACTGATCATTCGTTTTCACAGTCCAGACGAACGTCAACTGGTGTACAGTGTACTTTCTGAGAAACGTAAGCGATCCTCTCCCATAACACGAACGCATTTTCTACCGTGGCTTTATGCACGTTTATTCTCTTTGGCGTTTGGTTTTCTTGAATGCTCTGAACTCCACGGATCTCGTTATTAACCGGTTTTTAGCCATTCGGGTGTAGGGGAAAATGACTGAAGTATTCTCCACCAGCGTTCATGCAGAGTTCCATGCGCTAAAACCATTTGGTTTAGCAGCTCAACCATACCGAATCATGTAACCCTTCGACCAGTTCAATGAAGGCATCCACCACAGCTATTGGTGACTCGTGTTGGATTACACGCATCATGCGTTTGACATTTGAGAACGAAAAGTCGCAGACTGTAGAGTGGGTGACCAACCTCCTCTAGCCAAAAAATCACCGACAGCATGAGAGTGTGCAGGTGCGTTGTCATGGTGCAAGATCCCTCGTACTCGAAACCTTGGACGACACCTGAAACAAGCTTCCAGCACTTTCGGCAGATAGTGAGTGGCGTACCAGTCTCCTATGGCTGTGCTTTGCTGAACGAGAAGCCATATGACCGGTTTTGTCCGTGAACATAGCCACCATCTGCTTTGTCACACTGCACTAACTTTGGAATTTTCGAGGTAGCGTCCACTGAAGTGATTGTTGCTTGGTCTCTGGGTTGAAACTCTACAACCAGGTCTCATCACCATTGATGATCTCCCAAACTGCGCTGAAACATCCACCATCAAACCTGGCGAGCCCGGTGCGAAATCGATTCACCCGAACTGCTTTCTGTTCCTCACTGAGCTGATAGAGTGCTCAGCGTGCGCAAATCTTTCTGAGACCGAGATTCTCATGGGAATGGTGCGGATTGATCCCGATAGCTTTCGCCAGCTATAGCACTGTCACTCGCGCATGCTTCTCCACCATCGCTTGCACAGCTGCAGTGTTGTCCGCTGTAGTGGCCTCCACAGGTCGACCACACTATGCCTCGTCATCCAGAGACCGCGTGCCACGCTTGAATTCATCCAACCACTCAAACACAATGCTTCTTGAAGGTGCGCCATCACCAAAGGCAGCTCGCAAACGATCAACTGCTGCTGCTTTAAACCTCATTTGTAGTCGTAGTGTTGTGAGATACTACTCACTTGTGAATAATACGCAAAAAGATGCAATCAGTAGTTTNCAACGATCAAAAATGAACAAGACCTGTTGGAGCAAACTGCTGCTATTCGGTATGGTGGATCAACGAATGCGCACCTGATGGTGAACTGTTCCATCAACTATCCTGTGTGTGTGGGCAGTAATTCTACAAACTTTTTCCAAATGAGATATTTCGTTGTATGAATGATCATTTAACCATATCCTGACCATTATTGGCAATAAACAACTATCCTCAACCGAGCACTGTCTTGTGGAATTATAATATAAGAACTCATCGCCCCCCCCCCCAGTGACATCGACTGAGTCCCACCCTTATAGTCCGAGTATAGCGAACCTTAGGAACTGTGAGGTGTGTTGATATTTGGTTCTGTGAGTTGTCATCACTGAACGATCTTCACAATAGATTACAAGTCACATTTTCCTTGCCCGGTCATCTGCACCTCCAACTCGTTGCGTGCTGCCTATCCGGAAATTGTTGTTCAGTTTTCGTACATGCGCCACGGGCTTAATACTGGAGGGGAATTCCAGAATCTCACGATTTCATAAGCCCACCATGTTGGTTACAAACCTTAGCTACTAAGTGCAACAATTCAAAGTTTTATGGTGGGTGCTCACAGGCTATCGCTTTTCCTATCACGCAGGATTTTGGCACAACTGAATCGATTGACCGATCAAAGAGAGATGAGGAACGCCACAGAGTTTCACTATCGTGCAGTGTACTGTGTGTGCGCTTGAAGGAGTCCATTGTGGGTGCCGAAACGACTGCAGCTGTTAGGGTAATCCAAATACTACACACTCTGAGGGCAGAGAACTGACGTCGGAATTCTAGTCGACAGTTTTGGAACACTAGTTTAAATGGATGCCTCTTGAGGTGAATATTAGGCGACAAAATGAACAGTGAACGACATGGCTGGTGATCAGGTTTCTGCAGTATTTGATACACCAAAATTAAGTCTCCTCAAATTCGACGATACTGAATGGAGTGAAAAACTCAATGATCGCTGTCTTTCCACATAGGTTTTGACCATCTTGGTGGCCATTCTTTGTAAACCCTCCACACTCTTACGAACACGTTGCAGCCGTGAATTCCACCCTTGAATGACGTAATCGATGCATGGGTGAATGTAGGCTAGTAAAAAAACGTAGGAGCAGCATAGGTTCAAATTTTCCAAAATCTCGTTTAAAAAACCAACACCTGTGAACGACGACCTTCAGAAGTTTATACAACAGCTTAGGTTGTCTTGAACGATGGCACTTAGATCCTTCTCTGTTGAGGCATACGTAAGTTTTTGATGCCCGTGGAAGTGCGAAAGTACCGCCGATATTTCGAATTTGATGTCGTTTTCTCTTCAGCAGCACCAAGTGTTGCCTGAATTGCCAGTAAGCGTTTTGAATCGCAGTCCTTGATGTATTTCGAGTTTTAAGGTTCGAGGTTCGTGCCTTGTCAGGGGCACTCATTTCCAGCGGTAAAGCCCAACTCGGTTCTACATCTGGTCTTATTTTATTCAATTCGTTAGAGCCGAAAGGAGACAAATACTGCGAGATGTTTACATTTCTTTTAATCTCTTCAGTCGCTACAACGTAAAACAATCTGGTATTTATACAAGCAAGTTTTGTTAACTACAATGGTAAAACGGGCAATAGTCAAGGAGGCGGGGAGAGGGTGGAGTGGGAAATCAGTTCCATGGCAGTTTGACTGATTGTGTAAGAAACTTTTGTGCGTACGAGATTGGGTTTCATAACTTGATTAGCATCGCCTCGCTAGACGCCAAAATCCTGGGGTTTATGTCACGTAATAAAGGCTTGAACGACATTTTTCGGTCAACGATGTGTCCAGTTGCCATAAGATGTTTTGCGATTGCTGTCCCTTGATTTATCTTATCAGTTTGACCTGTAAGACTTTGTTGCGTCTTCCACTGTGCCAACCACTTGGTCTCCGCCGTGTCGGGGGCCGATTCGTTCTGTCAATGTAAGTGCCACCGCAACTGCAGGTGAACTGGTAGACGATATGTAAAGCAGAATTGTTCGGCTGGTGGTGTTTTCGATTGTTTAAACTAAGTCCTGGGGTATACGGTATCAATGGAAACTGTGCGGCATGAAACGTTCGACACAGTGCCGCCTTGAGCTTTTGACGCACGTCGTTCATTATATGATCACCTTTAATGGCGAGTCTGAGGAAGATGCTCTTCTTCGGTACTTCGCAGGCAAGATCAACCGATGTCTTTCGTCTGCTATGCACATCAGTAAATTTCTGTGGATAGCCATTATCTAGTAGCGTCCTTCGCAGAAAGGCCTCTTCTTCTGGGACAGTGTCAGGAGAGCATATATTCCTGGCGCGATGGAACAGAGTCTTCACCAGACCTCTTTTGTGAGCCACAGGAGCGAAACTGGCAAATTGTAAGTATTGCCCACTCCATGTAGTCTTCCGGTAGACGGATCTTTGCAAGGTTCCATCTGATCGCCTCCTGATTTTTATCTAAAATATCCAAATAGCCGTCCTTTTCCTCCTCAACGAAAACAGAGAGATTGGGATGAATAGTATTAAATAGTGCTAAAATGGTGTTGAAATGCTCAGTCGATAAAAATCAAAGTATCATCAACATAAAGTTTGTACAAAACAGCCATTGAAATATTACCATTTAATCGTCTTTCAACCATTTCTAGAAATACATCGGCTAATGCCGGGCCTAAGGGACTGCCTATTGGTACATCGTCAGTTGTTTTGTGGGCTGTTCCTTCAAATTCAGAACTTATGTTCTCAGTTCAAAAAATGATAAGATCTTTTACATAATCAGGGGGAATAGGAAGGTGAATATTCTTTGAAGAGAATAAGTCACCTAAATTGTCTACTGTTTCATGGACAGGAACATATGTAGAAAGTGAATCAACATCAATGAGAAAAAATCTTATGTGAAGATAAAATTAAAATTGTCTAATAAATTATCAAGTTCAAAAGAGTCTTTGATACAATGAGGCGTCAGAGCTTTGTGAATAGGATCCAAAATGTTGACCAACCATCGGGCCACCTTGTGATATGATGAATTCTGCATGTATAAAATTGGTCTGAGTGGGACGCCGGCTTTGTGAATTTTGGGTGAACCTCTCATCCGGAGTGTCTCTGTTCCCCGTGGTTTCAGACTTTTGTATTGAGAAATGTAACCATGTAATAACAGAGTCTGAAGCTTTCGGGTAATCATTTTCTCCGTGAAAATGTTGTTATCAGGCGTGTTGTCCACCTTGAATTTGCTCTCATCCGACAATATTTGGTTCATTTTTTCTTCATGGCTCTCTTTGGTCATAATAACCACCCCAGAGCCCTTGTCGGGTTTGAGAAATTTTAGTTCGGACATCGTCCGCAATTCTTGTATGGCTTTATAGTGTTCTGCTTTGAGACAAGTTTGTTGTCTTATTGGTGCAGAGAGGAGGGTGTGCGAAATATCCATTTTTGTACGAGGCCAACCAGCATTTTCAGCCGAGGTTGCCGAAAGATCTTGAAATTGGTCAAACAAGTTTTCGAAGTCAACTTTATTTTGAATCGTGTTCAACTTCTTTTGAGGAATCTTGAAGTTCAAACCAAATGACAGTACGTCAAACTATGGTTTTGTGAAGACGATTTCGGAAATATCCCCATTTGTGCTTTTCGAAACGGGAACTGCGTTGTGAGGTCGACATAGGAAGCTTGCTTTCGTCCTCGAAATTGTCATTCGTGAGAAGTTTTCATATTTGATACGATAAAATAATTTGAGTTCGCGTAGAAGAATAGCAAAATGTCGTTGTGTCTCGATGAACTTGTTCGTTTGGGAACTCGCAGCCTCCAGATGGAAATTGGTTAACTTACAACTTCTCTTTCAAGAGTAATTTTGAGAAATGCCTCGGAAATTTATACAAACGAATACATTCCCGATAAAGTTATTTCTTTGTCCGTTCCACTGCAATTTTGCAACGCAAGGTTAGCAAACAGTCCAATCCTCTCGTAGTAGATTCGGGAAGTCNCTTTATCCAATTGGTCAGAACCGAGAGAAGACAAATACTGCGAGATGCTAACATTTATTTTATTCTGTTCAGTCGCAACAACGTAAAACAATCTCGCAGTATTTTTCTTCTTTCGGTTCTAACGAATTGGATAAAGGGACTCAATGTTTCAAGTTGATTATTTTATTCACTATTCATGGCTCCATAGTTTCGCGTACCGGTTACTGTCAATCGATGACAGTTTCTAGTCCCCGTGAAGTTCGCCGTTTCTACCGTGGATCACACAGCTGTGCTTTTTATTAAATTTTAATGAGTACAGGAGGAATGGCTCAACCCCGTATACTGATGGTCAAGGAGATGAAGGTCACCAGACTATCTCTCCGGGGGACGCTTGTTCGAATTCCACCACTGCCATCTAACTGTCTCCCGGCAGCCCTTTAATTGGCCGCCTCCCTCTTCCTGAAAATTGTATCGTTATAACATTCAAAAAAAAGAAAGTAAAAAAATGAAAAAATAGTGAAAAAAACATTCAAGCCAGAACTGATTCTGCGTTTAAACCAAAGTATGTCGTAATGTGCCAGGAGTACAGAAATGAGGATAATGTTTTCCACAAGTATGCTGTTCTTTGGAAAAGAAAAACGATTGAACGATGAAAGTGGGTGACCGGCTGTTTGTTCACGGGACCAGGGGAACAAGTGTAAGCGGAACTTAAATGGAAGCCGGTCCGGTTGAACAAAAAACAGTTTAGTACCGATAGAATAGGAATAAGGAAGCAACTGGTCTGCGACTAGCTAGTGACTGCAAATTGCAAATCAGTAACCCTTTGTCGGCCGGGAGCGCATGGTACTTTATGTCAAACAAGAAAAAGAAAATGAAAGGTAGACAAAACTCCACACCCCCGCCACCTAGTGACTTTCGTATTCAAATGTCGGATGAATCTGAGCTTCTCAAACTGAGTGGTGATTCGATCTGAAGAGACGTTGCGCGCATGGAACAGAAAGCATCGCGAGATATAGATGGTGATCATAAAAGAGAATGAAATGAGGATGGCGTCAACAAGTTGCGTGAATCTGTGCAATGGAGACAGTCGTAAGCAACATCATGTCAGCATGTAAATGAGAAAGGTTCACATTGAAGAGTGATGAACACAAGAAAGTTTTTTACCGGTACTAAACAGAACACGATTTCGGCATAATTTAGAAAACGCGGTGCATCGGTTGTTGATGGTGATTGAGGTATTTGGTTTTCCCTCAGTGACAGATATTTTAGTAGCTTGATCATGGAAACCAACAGTGAACTCCCGGTGTGGCTAAACAGATTCGTCAACTACACGCATCCGGAGGCCTCTTCAACCTCAGGGAAGATCAGGTACCCCGTATACTCATTTGTGTGCACCTGCTTGCTTTGCTTCTACATGTGCGCACCTCTATCTGCACGGTCGTTGACACCGATCTGTCTTCTACTTGACTTTTTGTTCCAGTTCAACTGGTCATATTCGGAGAGGACGAGAGAAATCCGAGGCACACGATGATCATCGGTGACACATTTGACCCCAGTGATTCCGTTGATTCGACCGGTGTGTTAAAAACGTTCGCTGTTTGTTTTGCTGGATCGGGGTCACGCATTCTTTCCGGGTAAGTGGTGTGCACACCGGCACACTCTTCTCCTTTTCCCCATCGAGTCCCGTTTGAGGTCAAGGGGCTTTCGCGAGTTCCGCTGTCCGTATCGAATGATTTTAAACTGCATGTCTTCACCTCCTTCGGTTTAATTTTCCCAGTCGCTTCACAAAACTTTCAATGCGGTTAGATGAATGGATACAAGCTGTCTGAAAGAATGGATTCTCTTTGAAGTTGTGTGATTAATCTGAGAATCGTCATCAGTAGTGTTGTACGCGCTTGAGAATGATCAATTATCTTGGCCCCATTTTAGTTTGTGAACAAAGTGAGACGAAGCTGGTTTGATTCATCGTGTTTCATAGTTAACGTCCAGCTCACTTTTAACAGGTTGTTCGAAACAACCTGTCTGACAATACACTGTGCAAATCTTAGATGACTTCACTTTACCCGGATTTTCTGGTCTTTGGGAACGCGCCACAGGTGTTATAATTCTGCTTTTTTTTCTTGATAATGG